CAAACTAACCATGTCGCCCGAATCGTCGAAGTCGGCATCGTATATCTCCTCCTTCTCATACTGGAGTGTCGGGAGCACATCTTCCAGTTCCGGGTAGGTGACGAGCGAGAGCTGGGAGTCGGTCGAGCCGGCGGCGAGGAGGGGAGGCATCGAGCGGGAGAAAGCGGTCACTTTCTGCGAGTCGCGCACGCAAGGTCAGTACTTGCATCGGATGACTCAGAAGGCACGGGGCGCACTTGGTAGTGATCAGGGTCGACAGACGTAAACGTCTGTTTCCGCTTCTCGTACGTGATCCTGCGGAGCGAGAGGATTCAGCTGCGTTCCTCGAGCAGAAACCGCCCGACTCACGACTTGTCATCGTAGCTGAACACCCTCAAGTTCTCATTGACGCCCTTTTCCAGCTGGTCGGCGGACGAATTGATACCAGCGACGAGCGCTTTCGCCTGGACGGAGGAGAACCGTCAGTCTCCGCCGCATCACGTCCGGAATCGCCGCGAAAGCACCTTCCGGTTGACGGCCATGGTCATCGGCGCGTCCTCCTCCTTGGACAGCTCGTGCTCGGTGACGAGCGAGAGTTGTCGCTTCTTCGGGTCGACGGAGTACATGGACTGGGGGCGCCTGAGGTGTCAGCAGGCCAATCCGGGGCTTCGCGCGTTCCAGCAGCCTCAGTAAACCCTCTTCTCTCTGACCCTTGGCTCCACGCCGCTTCTCAGCCGCGTACAGCCCTGCGAACCAGCCACGCTCCACATGTCCCGAACGCACTGAACACACAACTCACGATCCTGTTCTTGACGCCCGTTCGACTGCTCCCGCCTCCTCCAGCCAGCAGAACGGTCGAGTCGTCCGTCCATGCGGTGGCGTAGACGGGGAATTTCGCGTCAAGCGGGAAGTGCGCCTTCGAGGAGGAGCCGGGCTCGGCGGTGAGCGTTGTCGGGGTTGGGTCGGCCGGCATTGCGTTCGTGGAAATTCAAAGAGTGGCCCAAGCAGTCAGAACACGTCCCAGCGGTGGTCGAGTGATGAGGTTGTGGTCGAGGAGAAGGTTGTCCAGCAAGAGTTCGCCTCGACCAGCGACAATGAGCGAACAGTCGTTCAGGCAGAACTTGCAGGGCTGTGAGTGGATTCTGAAGCCCCCAACGACCCGCCCAACCGCTCCCGTGGTCCTCGTCGCTCCCCACCTCGCCTCCTCGCCCGTCATCACCAGACCTGCTCGCGTACTGACCTGTATCCGCTCGTGTGCACAGTCCGGTGGGCGCAGGGTGTCACAGATGACTCGCAGTCGCAACCGAGCGAACAGTCGCCCTTTGCCCGCTTCACCTCCGCCCTCTCCGGCGGAATCCCTCTCCGGTCGAACGAGCGCACGAATGAGGAAGAGGCGTGCGTTCGCCTGTCTCGTCCTGGCTAAGAATTCGTCAACTGACCGCTGTGGCGCAGCTACTTCGCCCTGAGTCGATGGGAGCGCTTCGTCGGCTTCCTCATGTGCATCGCAGGAGCGGCCGCCTGCTTCGCCATCGCCTTCTTCCTGGGTCTCCCGTTGCTGGCGCTCAAGCCGAGGAAGTTTGTGGTGCGTCCGTGATGTCACGTTTGCGCTGCGCGTCTGTTGAGCTGACGTTTTGCCCTCTTCCGCTCGTAGCTCTCCTTCACCCTTGGAAGCGTACGTCGCGCCTTGCTAGTCTTCTGCAGCTCGTCACCACAGCAAAGCTGACGGAGTACTCTACCGAACGACTTCAGGTCCTCTTCATGGCAGGCTTTGCCATCCTGCAAGGCCCCCTCGCACACCTCAAGCACATCTTCAGCTCGGAACGCCTACCCTTCACAGCCGCCTACTTCGGCTCGCTCATCCTTACGCTCATCTTTGCGCTTGTCGTAAGTCGCCCTCGCCCTTCAGCTTGCGCATCTCTCGCCGAGCAGAGACAGCCGATTGAGGGCCCTTCCTGCGCTTCACAGAAACAATCATATCTCGGCACTCTTGTATGCGCGATCGTTCAGTGCTTTGCGCTGGTGGCCTACTTCGTTTCTTGTACGTCCTCTCGCCATCTTCCATCCGCTCCGAGACTGATGTAGCTTTCCGCAGACTTCCCGTTCGTCTACAACTCTTGCTTGACTCTGCTGTACCAGCTGACCGAATTTTTGAGCGCAGCGGCGGATGGGCGACGCTTTCGTTCGGATCACGGATGGCTATGCGCGGAGCGAGTTCGGTGCGCCCATTCTCGCCTACGAGATGTTCAGCACGCGCTTACGCACGGTTTCGGCTCGCAGTACTTACCGGTGTAGCACGCTCTGCACACCTGTACCATATTGGCCCTCACCTTGATCCGTCGGAGAGAGAGAGAGATGAAGAGAGAGATTCCGACAACAAGATCTAGAGTCTAAGCTAAGTACGCTTCTCACCCACCTCACGCCCCGCACCAACTCGCGACCATCCTCCTCTCGCCCTCCTCGCTCCACGCCGTTCCCCTTCCTCTCGTTTCCTCTACCTTCTTCGCCGTCGCTCGCAACAAGACCTCGATGACCTCCTTACTCGCACCTTGGTTCTGCTGCGCTTGTCCGACGAGGTCGCGCAGCTGTGACAGGGTCGAGAGGGACGGCAGGCGGAGGTGCGAGAGGGCGAGAGAGAGGCGCGTCCAGAGAGGACCGTCGTTTGGCCACTCGCCCAGCTCGCGAAGGTACCGCTCGAGCGCATCCCATGCATCCTCGTTGATAGCGTCCGATCCGAGAGCCGAGAGGGTCGACGAAAGGTGCGAGATGAAGGACGGATGGAGAAGGGGTTCGCGGCTGGTCGACGAGCCAGACTTGCTCTTGCTGCTCGACGAAGACGGACCAGGCGCGCCGACTCGACTGAAGATCGACTTGAAAGCGCCGAGCTTGTAGAAGTCGACCACGAACAGCAGGTCGTCTGTCTCGATGAGCGCGGCGGAAGACGAGTCGTAGGAAGGGGTGTCGAGGGCGGCTTCGAGGTTCTTGACGGAAGAGTAGATGGCGCGGTAGATGGGTGCGACGTCGCGCTTGTCCTTCGTGAGAGACTCGAGGAGAACCGAAGCGGAGAAGGCCTCAAACTCGGTGGGCGGTCGGTTCGCGTCCTTTGGAAGGCAGAGTGCCGCAATCGCCGCGACCGCCTCTTCGTCGCCCGAGAACGCCGCGACAAAGTCCCGCAGCCCGTTCGCGCTCGTGGAGAGCATCCTCGCTGTTTGACCAAAGTCAAACACCGATGAGCCCGTCTCGCTCTTCGAACGAGTGAAGATGCTTCGGATTCCGCGCGGGTCCTGCGCATAGCTGAGATGGCCCGTCTTGCGCTTGACGTAGAGCGTGCTGTCGCGGAGGAACTGCTCGAGGTGGGACGGATTCGACGAGAGGTTGAGCGCGAAGGCCCAGTACCGCGGCGAGTCGATCTGGATGGCGCCGATTTGCGAGATGCTGGGAATGAGAGTCGGCGCGACGAGCTGCTTGATCGCCGCTTTGCCGCTCGGTTGGCCTGAAACGCTGTCAGGCTTGAGGCGGAGGCGGACAGGAAGGAAGACAGGCTCCCCAGAGTCGACGTCGCGCGCCTCGAGGTAGCGCGGCTCGACGGCGAGGACCCAGAGATGCCGGTATGCTTGGAGGTGGAAGCGGTTCTCGAGCGAGGTGGACGGAAAGATCGGGTAGAGCGAGAGAAAGAGGGCAGCGACGGCCGCGTCGGAGTTGCCGAGAGTCTGTTTGCCTTGCCCGAGAAAGAGGAGGCCGAGCGACATGTGGACGGCGAGATGACTCCCGTACGTGATGCCGTCGCTGAAAAGGCCGTGCGCGACTCGGATCCGGCGAAGCACGTTGATCTCGCCCGTGCCCGCCATGACCATCGAGAGGGCGAGGCTGAGGGCGGCGAGTGAGGCGCGGAGAGCCTGGCGCTTCATCTTGCCCTGAATCGACGAGGCTGCGTGAGGAACAGAATCAGCGCAAGGGGCATCGGCGAAAGGCGCGTTGCACTCACTCTTGACGTAAGACGCGCGGCTCAGACGGTCGAGGTAGTGGATGAGAGTCGCATGCGCGTCGGCGGCGGCCGTCCCGGCGAACTTGAGGCCCATCGCGAAACACGCTCCAGCCGCAATGCTCCAGCGAGCGATGTCATAGTCCGCGTCGGGCGTCTTGACGTTCGCGGCTGCCTCGCCGCCGAGAAATGGAGGGAGCTGCGACTCGACCCACTCCTTCGACTTGGCAACTTGGTCCCACAATATGAGGTTGCGGCAGATTGTGCGGAGGAGGAGCAGGTCGGGGCGCACATAGTCGAGGTTGCGCGGCGTCGAGGGGATTTCGAGCATCTCCGCGACATCCTTACGCTCCGAGCGCAGGTACATCAAGCCGACGGCGACGGTCGCGGCCGGAGACGTCACGTTGATATCGGTCACGTTCTTGGCGGACTGTGCACCGGGTAGAGCGTTGTTGCTTTCGCCAAGGATCAAGGCGCGGAAGACGCGGAGGTGGTCGACCTCCTTCGACGAGCGGGTCTTGTCCCTTCGTCCCGCCCCGAGCATGATCAGGCCGAAGGAGAAGCCGGCGGACAATGCGTAAGCTTCGCGGCACTGCGAGCCGTCGTCGATGCTCGTCACCTTGATGCCGCACAGTTCGCGCAGGAGAACGTCGGCGTAGTTGCGCCTCGCCGAGCCGAAGTGAACGAGGCCCAGTGCGACAGTGGCAGCGGCTTGCGTCATGCCGGACACATTCAGGGACGACGAGCGCGGCGGATGAAGTGCTGGCAGGTGAATGGAGATGACGCTGGTGACAGTCGCATCGCCCGTCGCGATGTACGAGGCAGCGAGGCCGAGCAGAATGCCGACAGAAGTGGGGTCGTGCTTGCTCTTGAGGTAGTCGTAGGCTTGACTCGACAGCATCGAGCCGAGCCGGCCGCTCAAGCCGAGACCGTACAACAAACCCGCATGCCGCGAGTCGAGGTCTGCCGGGCGATTGAACGAGATCTGCGAGCTGTCGACCGCTTGCCCGCCGTCGAGCTGGAGTTCGAGCGCTGCCGACACGCCGGCGTGGAAGTCCGGCCATTCGAAGCGGTCGGGCGGCGCTCCTGCTGTTGGCTCGCGCTCCTTCTCCGCGAGCGCGACAGGAGAAGGCATTGGGACGATCCTGGCCGACGTGTTGATCTTGCCAATCTTGATGGCGTCGGAGGGCTGCAGGGTCTTCGTCCGGAAGCGGAAGATGCCCCAGCCGACCGGGAGCGAGAGGGTGCGTTGCGAGAGGGCGAGCAGGACTGATTGCTGAATTTGCGGAGTGAGCTGGTCGCTGCGAGTGCGTAGACGAGATCAGCGAGCGAGATGAGGAGAGGCGTTCTAGCGGAACTCACATGGTCCTGTCGCCGGCGCTGATCGTCACGGGGTCCTCGAACTGCAGCATCCGAGTCACTTCCTCCAGACGCTTGTCCTCGTTGAAGCGGGCGGCCCTTGGGACTGGGTTCAGGCTGACGCTCGTCGAGGCCGAAGATGCGGACCCAGCCGACGAACTCGGCAGGCCTGCCACCCGCTGAGCGAGTTCGTCGATGCTCGTTGCGGCCGCGGCGGATTCGGACCGACTCGCTGGCGCTGCACGCTGGGCCGCGCCATGCTGCCGCGCCAGATCGGTACGCCGGATCAGGTTGTACGCCTCGACGGGCCAGTTGTCCGGCGGGTCGAGCTGGCACGACCTGATCGCTTCGCGCAGCGGCACGACGACCGCGAAGGTCAAGCCGTCAAGGTCTTCCCCTGTCCAACGTAGCTCGTCGAGCATGTATCGCACGGCTGAGTGGATGCGAGGTGCTGGTCGACCGGATGAACCATCGCCGAGAAGCGAGTACAGGCGGATGATGGAGAGTGTGAGGCGGTTTGCGACGATTGTCGAGCCGTAGAAGCCGGAAGGAATGAGGCTAAAGCTGTCGGCGACACTTGAGAGGTCGAAAGCGATCGTTGGCCGGGGTTCGCTGCGGAAGAGGGCGGCTAGGTGGGCGAGGAGGTCTGGCGGGGTGCTGGGGAGGCGCGAAGCGGTGCGGCCGAGAGCTGCGAAGTCAACAGGGTAAGTCATCCATTGCTTAGCAGGCAGAAGAAAGCTGGGCAACGCACCGACTTGCACGGGTTCAAGGGCTGCCCCGAGCAGTCGTCTGTAGTAGTCGACCCAGCCCGACAAACCCGCTGCACCTGCCAGCCGCGCGACTAATCGACCGAGCTTCACCACGTCCTTCCGTCTTCGCGCCGATAGCCGAACGTCCTGAACAACGAGGTGGAGGGTCAAGAGCGTCGCTTGCAGCTGATCTGGCAGGTCGGGCGAAGGCGAGTCGGCGAAAGCGGTCGAAGGAGGGGCCGTCGTTGAGGCGCGTACGGGGAAAGCAGGCTGGTGTCCGGCGCGTCTTCGTCGGAACGTCTCAAAGGTATCGGGAGCGACACCCGCTGCCGCCGTGTCGATGCCGAACAGCGGCGCGAGGACAGCCTCGAGGTTGTCCAGGCTGGAGGCCGCATCGCTGGTACTCCGCCGATGCACGATCGATGCCTGCAGCTGGACGAAGTCGTCGAGCGGGAGGACGGCTGAGAGAGCTTCGAGGCAGTCTCGCAGCAAGCGACAGGGCGGGGTCCGAAAACAGGTCATCAACCGTTTCTGCTGCTCGATGACGATATTCATCTTGCGAGATGTATTGCCGGCGAGTTTCGCAGGTCGGTCGTCCGCTGCGAGAGGAGGAAGGTCGACGTCGTCTTCTCGCCCATCAGCTGTCACGACGGCGAGCGTCCCGTCTGGGCGGAGGTAGGCGAGGTCGAGAACCGCTGAGCGGGTGGCGAGAACGGTTGTGGCTGAAGACGCTTGCACTTCGCGAAGAGGAGATACGGCGATAGAGCCGTCTGGCGCGGTGCTGAGTCGGAGGATGAGGAGGACGTGTGCGGAAGGGAGTAGGATGGCGAGGGAAGACGTTTCAGGCGAGCGTGTGTCGAAAAGATACGCGGAGGTGCCCCTCGTGCTGCACAACGAGAGTCAGCACACCGTCTCGCGACACGATGGGAACAGGCGACGCACTCGAGGTTTCCAAGATCCGCATCCCACAACCTCTGCAAGACGACCTCGCTCGCCGCGCTCGTCTGTTCCGCCTCGCTGAAGAACATCGTCGCCTCGCGCTCGAGGTCTCCGCCTCCCGCGCTGCTCGCACCCTGACTCAACGCCATCCGGTCCATCGTCACGCTCAAGTCGTTTCGCGTCATGCTGCTCCGTCTGTCGATAGTTGCGGGTCGACGAAGCGCAGCGGAGGAAGTTGCATTTGTTGGCGGCTTGAGCGGTTCGGCGTTGTGACTGAGCGCTTCGAGCAGCTCGTCTTGCTGGTCAATGACGCGCGAAGTCGAGAGTCGTGGTCGACCTTTCGACGAACCGACATGCTGGCCGGACGCTCGCCGGATAGACCGCTCTTCAGGCATCGAAGCCGAGTGAGCGCTCGTGTCGGCAAGTTTGCGCTTCGTCCCGCTCAGGCTGCCACGTCCGCAAGACATGCCGACCGACGTTGCCCCGTTCGCGTCGTCTCCTCCGTCCCGCGCGACACCCTTGCTCTTGCCCTTCGGATCCAGCTCAGCGAGCACCGGACCATTCGCGCCCTCGTCATCCTCGAGCTTCGCCTTCAACCGCCCATATGCCCAGACCGAGACCTTTCTCGTCTTCTCGTTCATCGACACCGCAACAGGCGGTTCGCCCGCGCGCTCCATCGTCGATACGAACACGACCTTCTCGTCCAAATCCTCGACAGGTACGATCGGTCCGTCCGTCTCGACCTCCACGTTTCCCCGCCCGCTCGTGCACCGGAACGAGGGTACGACCGCAACGGCCTTCATCTCGTCGTAAAGATCCGACAAGGTGTAGAGCGTCGGAAGTTGCGCCGGGACGTTCTCCGCCCAGACTTCCCTCCCCTCCCTCTTCCGCTCGAGCAAGATCCCATGATCGAGGGACCATGCTCGTTCGACGCGAAAGGGAAGAGGAAAAGGAATGCAGCCGCCTCTGGACGGGTAGGCGAAGGCGATCGTAGAGAGGAGGACGATCAAGGTGCGGTCGAGGCGGGTTCGGGGCGGAGGTACGGGATCGGTGGGATCGACCGGGAGCGGAAGAGGGTCGTCCGACCATGAGGAGGTGACGGGCTCGCGGTAAGGGCCGAAGAGGGACGAGGAAGAGTCGTTGTCGAGGCGCTGGGCGGAAGTCGAGGCGGCTGGCGACGCGGCGGACGGATCGTATGCTGGCTCCGCTGGGACGTGGAGGTCCGCAAACAGCGCCTGCGTTACCGTCTCCCCCTTCTCCTCATAGCTGAACGTCCGAAAGACGCTTCCTCCTCGACTCCACACAACCCTGTTGTCCTCCCAGGTTAGCTCCTCAAGCGCGTCAAGCCCTTCATCCGCTCCGCAATCACTTCCTCTTGAGCTCCTGATGAAGCAGCTGCCTGGCGCTGCGTTGGCGGGCGAGTGTCGTGAGGTTGAACGAAGGACCTCCTGGAAACGAGACGTGGGGTGTGGCAGCAGCGAGGGCGGGACAGACGAGACGGGCGGATGCCTAGCCTCTGGAGGCTTTGTCTGAAGTGCTGAAGCAGGCCACGGCACGCAGGGAGCGAGGTGGGCCATGACGGCCGCAACGGAGGAAGGCAACCTGGGAGAGGAGGGGCGGCAGTAATGACACTCGCATGTGAGGGCTTTCTGACACGTATGGGGTGATGTTTGGAATCTCTCAAGCCAGTAGACTGGTAGCCAGGCGCAAGCAAGCGAGAGAGCGTCTCCCAGGCCGTCGAATCCGCACCAGGTCGAGCCGTTCACAACGACCGCAGCCCTCCAAGCCCCGCCGATGGTCTAGCGAGTGCGTGCAATGCGATCTGATGGTACACACGGGGCCGACCCGCATCATCTCCCGCCGTCTCATGCCTCCCGACGCAGCCTCTTGAGCTGTGAGGACGAGGAGGGTCAGCGAGCGCTCGACAAGAGAACGTCGGCGAGACTCACGATCTCCCTGTGCTCCCTCTTCATACCAGCGTACTCCGTCCGCTTCGGCACATACTCGTTGATCCGGAGGTTGGGCGGGAGGTCGACGACCGCATCGTGCGCAACCCCTAGCTGTTCCCGCGCCGCCTGTTCCGCCGCCTCGAGAGTCAACTCCTTGTCTTCTGTCCGCAACCGCCGAGTCAATGCCGCGACCTCCTGCTGCTTCGCTCGCAAAGGCCGGTTGAGCGTTTTGAGGAGGCGCTCGATGGTGGGCGAGTCTGTCGACTTCGGGTCGCGCTTGGGAGGGGGGTTGGGAGGCAGGCGGATCTCGTTGCGAGGGATGGCGGACACGGGGATGACCCGCACGCGGAGGAGAGCGGTTGGTCGCATCGTGCTGAGGCTTCGAGGCGAGGTGGTGAGAGAAAGACGACGGCGGCGTGCAGCGGATCGGCGCGAGGTCGAGAGGATTTGTAGGGTTGTTCTGACTTGGATGAGGTCGCTCAAGCGGTGTCCGATGGTGTGCGCGTGGTTGGTGTCATCCAGAGGAAGCGATCGTGCATCTTGGACCTCGTCAACTCGCAGGCTACTCGTTCCGGAGCGATGTATTCGCTAGCACAGCGTCTGAGCAACATCTCGTGCGTCTTACGTCTTTGTCCGGCCGCGCAAGCTCGAGCGTGGCCACACCCACGCACCCTCTCCTCGACTCGCTCGACAATGCGGACTGACGGCTTCTGTGGCCCACAGAGCGCTTGCGACGACCGTGCTCCTTACTTTGCTCACTGCCATCTCCGCCACCACCTTCCTCATACCCGCCAACCTCGCTCCAGCGTCGCTCAGCGTTCCCCACCTCAACGTCCTCCTCGGACGCTCTCAGCACGACTGGCGCGCAAAGGAGCGCGAGTTTGCGTTCGTCAAGTTTGATCTCAAGGCCGGTGAGTGCAGGCTAGGCGAACTCTCCGGCAGGAAGATGCGAGCTCACCGTTCATCCTGTTCTTCCACCGCAGACCTCTCGCCCTTGTTCAACTGGAACACCAAGCAGGTCTTCGTGTACCTCACTGCCGACTACGCGACTCCAGAATACGTGTGTAGTCTTCCTCATACGAGGGATCGCCACGGCACGAGCTGACCCCCATCTCTCACGCTTCCTTGCAGCCGGACAACACGGTCGTCGTGTGGGACAGGATCGTGCGCTCGTCGCGACACGCGCGGATTGATGTGCAGGACGGCAAGCAGAAGTACGAGTTCAAGGAGATCTCCAGCACGTTCAGGTGCGCTCCTTTCACTCTCTCTTATTCTTCATCGAAGCTGTTACTGAAACGGATCTCTCGCTTCCGCGCGCATAGCAACGTCTCGGCGACGTTCTCTTTGCAGTACCAGGTGCAGCCGTACGTAGGCGTGCTCACCGCGGGAGAAGTCGTCCGCACAGAACCCATCGCTTTCCCTGCAGTCCGCCGGAGAAGTCAGTAGTCGTCCGTCTCGCAGTCTTTCTTGTACTTGAGTCCGTTCGCATGCGCTAGAACCCAGAAGACCGCAGGACAGGCTGGACAGCGAGCTCTTTGCCTCTTGTACTTCTTCCGTTCACTCTCGATGCCATGGCTGGCCTGCCCCCGCTCTCGCGCTCGCTGCCAGACCTGACGCTAGCCGGCACATCTCTCGAAGACGACATAGCCGAGTACGACTACGCGCACACGTCTCTTCCCTCGCCTCCTCGCAGTCCCTCCCCACCTCCGCTTCAACCGCTCGTCAACGGCGACACCGGCTCGCACGGCGCTGGCGAGCCTGTCATACTCGACAGTCCTGAGCCTCTGCATACGCAGCTGCCGACCGAGCTGCGCACTGAGGCGGAGTACGGGAGAGGGGATGGACCTGCGCCGAACGGTGTGAGGTGGAAGGAGAGGGTGGAGGAGCAAGCGAACGGGCACGACACACCTCGTACCGAGCGGTCTATGTCCATTGGGTCGATCCACTCAGCGCCTGAATTCGTCGCCGCCCCGCCGTCGCCCACTCCGTCCGCTTCCACTCCCTTGACCAGAGAAGCAGAGGACGGGTCGGACACTTCACCTGGTCCGGCTGATCCGACGTCAGCGTCGTCTGAGAGGATGGAAGAAGCGACAGGAAGGCGGAGGAAGAGTGTCAAGCGGCTGCCGCACACATTGTGGGATTACTTGCAGGAGGAGGTGCGCTTCCGCTTCCCTGAACGGCGCGAATCCTAGGCTGACTTAGCCTTCCCAGATCTTTGCGGTCGAGCTGGACGGCGAGGAAGGCATCAAGAGCGAGCGGGTCACCAACTTCTTCGCTGTCCCCCGAGAACTCGAAAAGGTGCGTTGCGCTGCCTTCGCTCGAGTCCAGCCTATTGACACTCGTCGTCCCTCCAGATCATCCTATTCGGCGTCTTCATCTGCCTCGACTCGTTCCTCTACACTTTCACCATCCTCCCTTTACGAGCCATCAGCGCCTTCCGCCAACTCGTCGCCAACCTCTTCCACAACGTCTTCCTCAGCCGAAGAAACGGCGGGAGAAAACGTCACCTCCGCTTGTCGCACAAGTGTGACTTGACGAAGGTGGCGATACTAGCTGGAACGCTCTTCCTCCTGCATCGTGTCACGGATGCGAGCAAGATGTACCACGGCGTGCGAGGGCAGGAGACGATCAAGCTCTACGTCCTGTTCAATGTGTTGGAGGTGCGCACCTGGTTCTCTTCCGCAAAGAGCGCTGCTGACCGGATTGCGAACAGATTGCCGACCGCCTCTGCTGTTCGTTCGGACAGGACTTGCAAGACTCGCTCTTCTCGCACCAGACCTTCGGCCGCCGGACAGACGGAAGTCACCCGCACATCCGTCCTGTCGCGCTTTTTGCGCTGAACCTGGTCTACGTCGGTACGTCTCGCCGAGCAACGCCTGTCCGGCTTGAAGCTGATGTGCTCCACTTCGACAGTCGCGCACAGTCTCGTCCTGTTCTACCAGCTCGTTACCCTCAACGTCGCCATCAATTCGTACTCCAACGCCCTCCTCACCCTCCTCCTCTCGAACCAGTTCGTGGAGATCAAGGGCAGCGTCTTCAAGAAGTTCGAGAAGGAGAATCTCTTCCAGCTCACCTGCGCCGACATCGTCGAGCGATTCCAACTCGCCCTCATGCTCTTCATCATCGCCCTTCGCAACCTGATCGAGCTTTCTTCCGCCTCCTCATCGTCCCTCTTCTCCTTCTTGCCCGCCTCGTTCCGCTCCGTCTCTCTCACCCTTCCGTCGCTTCCGACTCTCTCCCTGCTCCAGGCGATCTTCTCCCCCGCAGTGGTTGTCCTCGTCAGCGAGTGCTTCGTCGACTGGCTCAAGCACGCCTTCATCACCAAGTTCAACCACATCCGACCTGGCGTCTACGGCCGCTTCGTCGACGTCCTGTGTAAGGACCTTGTCGCTGGTGCTGGCTCGAAGCGGGCGACCGAGGTGCGTGTCCTACTCATGGTCGGAAGGCAGCGTACTCATCAATACATCCCGCACAGCAACCATTCGTCGACCAATCCCCCTTCGTCGCCCGCCGCCTCGGCTTCGCCGCCCTCCCGCTGGGCTGCCTCGTCGTACGCGTCATTTCGCAAGCATTCGAGATGCTCGCGGACGACTCGGCCGTCGACGAGTGCGCGCCGTCACGGATGAGCAGCGCAATTGGGTTGAGGGGCATCGTCGCGGCTGTGAAGGAGGAGGATTGGGTTGCGAGGGTCGGAAGTTGGGCGGTGGTTGCCTTGACGGTGTTTGTGGTGTGGATCTGGCGAGTCTTGCCCGTCGCTACTTGCGGCTCGCGGATGCTGATATCGCTCGTTGTTCAGCCTCGTCGCCCTCAAGCTGCTCATCGGGTGAGTCCGCCGCGCCTCGCACAAGGTCAGTCACGCTTACGCTTTCGCTGTACAGGATCAATCTGCGCGCATTTGCGTCGGAGCGCTGGAGCACGATGCTCGAGCGCGAGGAGGAGGAGCGCCTGAACGACCGTCAGCGGCCCAAGATTGGTGTGACAGCGAAAGAAGCTGTGCGTCCTCTCTCTCCCGCCTCCCTTGATTTGATCCGACTGACGGGGGAACCTTGAGCAGGAGATGGACCGCCAAGTCGCGTCGCTGCTGGCGGACGACGTCTTCGACTCGGCCTATCGCCACCGCAAGATCAATCTGACGAGCTTGACACGCTACGACATGGTCAAATCGAGACTCTGGTAGTACTGCGCTGTGCGCTGTTGTTGTAACACCACTCTGCGATTTGCATTGGCTTCAAGAAGGGTTCTATCGATGAGGGTATCTCTAGCAAGGGTATCGCTCCATGTCTCGCTCGTTGCGCCGTCACTCGTGCTGTCTGCTTCGCTCCTCCGCTTCCGTCGCCTCCAGGATGGCCCGCACCAATGCCTCAGGCTCCGGCTTGTCCGCGACGGCGTGGACCGGTACCCGCTCCTCCTCGAGGAACTGCTGAGTGATTGGTCCGATGGCCGCAAAACGTAGTCGAGTGGCGAGGGTGTGCGAAGCGGGGGTCGAAGCGACGATGGATGCGACGAGTCCTCGTTGTCGCAACTCCGCGAGGCATTCCTTCGATCCCGACGGCGAGAAGAGGACCATCCAGACCAAGCCGCGTCCATCCACGACGACGTTCAAAATCCGCTCGAGGTCCGCTCCGAAGCCTGGCGCCCTCGTCGTCGCGTAGACTTGCAGAGTCTCCGGCTCCACGCCGCCTTCCTCCAGTATGCGCGGTACCGTGTCCCGATTCTTGTCGCCCGTCAGGTACAATAGCCGTCGTCGTCGTCGAGGAGAGCTTGGCGGTTCGGGAGAAGATGCAAAGTGCCGGAGGATGAAAGATGCGAGTTTCTTGCCCGTGCCCGATTCTTCGGCGCCCAAGACAAGTTCTGGCGGAGGGGGGACGGGAACGCGCGCGAGGTTCGTTCTTGTTGGGTTGCCGACGACGAAGAAAGGGATAGAAGGCGCACGGAGGGCGGAAGAAGACGTTGAAGAGGCGAGAGTCGTTTGAGCGGCCGACCACGCCTCGACTGACCGCGCGCTCGTCATGATGACCCCGTCGTACGCTTCTCTGCCCTCCTGATGTACCCTCCGAGCAGCCTCGACCAGTTCATCCCGGTTGCAAAACGAGGTCGAGAGGACTGGCAGGTGGTGGAGAGTGAAAGCGGAGGTCGTGTCGAGCGAGTCGAGCGCTGACCGGTACGGGTCCTGTTCGAGCAAGCCCTGGGGAGTCCTGACGAGAACCAGATGGTGCCCGGCGGCCTCACGAGCGGGTGCAGCCATCTCGCGTGAAGCGTCGGAGGCAGAGCGACTCTCAGGAAGCGACAGCTCTCCTCGCTCGCTCGTGTTGCTCCGGTTCGCTGCTTGCTAGGCTTAGCAGACATGTCTAGGGCTGGCAAGAAGGTGCGTCTTGTCCCGGCGCCCGTCCAGCATCTCCCGGCCAAACTCACCGCTCCACTCCGCAGAACGAGTCTCCTCACCTCGCGCTCGTCGCAGGAGCGTTCGCAGGAGCTGTCGAGGGCGCTGCGACGTATCCTTTCGAGTGTACGTGCTGTCATCCACCTTGCGAGTGGAGGAGAGCGGGTTGTCCTGACGCCATCGCTTTCACGGGCAGACCTCAAAACGCAGACCCAGTTTGCGCATCGTACGGATGGCAAGGTGCGTCTTCTAGGCCCTCTCACCCGCAAGGTTGCGCTGAGCGGACTTTCTCGCAGCCGCCTGGACTCTGGGCAATCACGAAGCAGACGTATGCTCGTCAAGGCATCCTCGGTTTCTACTCTGGCGTTGGAGCACTGGTGACGGGCAATGCGCTCAAAGCGGGAGTGCGTTTCGTGTCGTATGACCGGTTCAAGCAGATGTTGGTCGACCAGGATGTGAGTCTCGCTCCGTTCCCTGCAGATTGCGCTCATGAGTCCAGCTGACGATTTTTTGGCGTTCAGGGACGACTGAGCGGTCCTAGAAGCCTGCTTGGTGAGCTGGAGAGAAGCCGGGAGAAGCGACGCTGGCTGCTGATTATTTTGCATCCACAGCCGGTCTCGGAGCGGGAATGATGGAGGCTGTCTTCGCTGTCACGCCGTCCGAGACGATCAAGTGTGTTACGGTTGTTGCCCTGCCGAAGGGCGCTCAACGCTAACGCGACTTCCCGCAGGACGAAGCTGATTGATGACCAGAAGCGCGAGGTCCCGCGGTATCGAGGCTTGGTGCACGGCACGGTGTCGATCATCAAGGAGGAGGGCTTCCGTGGCATCTACAGGGGTCTGGGGCCGGTCGTGCGTTTCCCAGCTCATCCAGCTTGAGTCGCCCGACTAACGCTTCCGTCCGCAGGCCGCACGACAAGGCGCCAACTCGGCTGTCCGCTTCACAACCTACGGAACGCTCAAGGTACGTGCGGAAGCTTCTCAATCTCGGACATAGCTCACAATGCTTGCTTTGGCGCAGTCCTTCGTCTCGGGCAATTCGCGACCAGGAGAGACTCTTCCGGCTGGCGTTACGTTCGCCATCGGAGCGATCGCGGGTGTCGTGACTGTCTACGCGACCATGCCTCTTGAGCGAGTCCGATGCGCACGTATGGACCGTCGACTCGTCTGACAGGATCCTTCCTTCGCAGCGTCATCAAGACCCGTATGCAATCGCTCGAAGCGCGCTCCCAGTACCGCAACTCCTTCCACTGTGCCGCTCGCATCTTCAGCGAAGAAGGCATCTTCCGCTTCTGGCGAGGTGCAACACCTCGACTGGCGCGGCTGGTCCTCAGCGGGGGAATCGTCTTTACCGTCTACGAGAAGGGTGCGTCTCGACTCGTACCTCTTCGGACGAGCTAGCTGACCGCTACTATACGCAGTCATCGTGCTCATTGGTGGGCGGGCCGTCTAGACGTTGGTGCTGTAACGCTGTTGTATCCCGAGATTCGTCTCCCCCGCGGTCGCGCTGTCTCGCTGCTCGGCTGGTCAAGCGTTTCTTTGCGATGTGCCATTACGCTGACGTGCAATACAGCGAAAACCGCAAATCGCAGAGGTTGCCTACCTGCTCCTCCTCGACCGGCTTCGTCTCCTTCTTCCACTTCGCTCCGCTGCTTCCTTTCCTTTCGCTCTTTCTGTACCTAGCCGCTTCGTGACCAAGATGCCGTCCTGGACACCGCCTGTCCCGCTCTGCTCAGCTTCGCAGAAGGAGAGTTTCGCCTACGAATCGACCGGTGCGTGTGCTCGGCTTCACAACCCCTGCCGGCCCGCGAGATGGACTGACGCACTTTCTGCCTCACAGTCAAGCGCTGGCCGATCATTCTCACGGGCGTAGTCGACGAGCTGAACAAGATCAACGGCACTCTCTCCGGGTCGAATGATGACGAGCAGGCGAAGATGGCGGAGGGCAAGCAGCTCATCAACGACATCTCGGGCTTGATCTACGAGATGCGGCATGACCGGGACCTCTCGCCGCTTCAGGGTGCGTATTTCTCCTCCTCGACACCTTCACCCCACCAAGACTTGCTGAACCTCCTCACTTCTGCAGCGACTGGCCTTCCTGACGACACGGCCGCCTACAACGACGAACTTGCTCAGCTTGCCGAGAAGGGGGAGAACAAGTGGTTCAGTGCGCCGTGGCTTTTTGCGGAATGCGTGAGTCTGGCTCCCCTGCTCGAGACGGGCGGGCTGGCCTGGGTAGCTCACTCCGGACGCTCTCTCTACAGTACCTCTACCGCCGATTGAGGGGTCTCTTCGCCGTCACAAAGCACTGGAACCTGTTCGACCCGTTCGCGAGCCAGAAGCTGTCGACCTGGCGCTCTTCCGCGGTCGGTGCAGCCGCTCTCGCCAAGTCGCTCCAGAAGCTCGTTCAGGAGGGACCCGTCAACGACGAGAAGAAGCTCAAGCTCGACCTGCTGGGCATGCTTGAGGTCGACCTCTGGGGAAACGCGACGGACCTCTCGCTTTTGACGTCCTTGACGCACGAGGAGATCCAGCAGCTCCAGTCAGTCGAGCGCGGCCAGCACTTCGTCCTCAAGACCGACTTTGAGCGGACATGGGAGCACTTCAAGACGCTCAAGGACGCGCGGGTCGACATCGTCCTCGACAACTCTGGCTTCGAGCTGTACACCGACATGGTCCTCGCCGACTGGCTCGTCACTCTTTCGCCTTACGTTTCCGAAGTCGTCTTCCACCCGAAGCTCATCCCTTGGTTCGTCTCGGACGTGTGCGTCGATTCCAGCGCTGCATTCGTTGCCACCCCAAAGCTGATCCTGCTCTCTTGTCAGACAACCGCACGACTTCCTCATTCTTCTCGACACCCTCGACGACGCTTCCTTCTTCCCTGCCGACTCTGGCCTGACCGAGGAGGACCGCACAGCCTTCCGCGAGCTCGCCGCACGATGGAAGCGCTACGTCAAGGAGGGCAAGTTCCGCCTGAGCGTGCCGACGGAGCTCAAGATGGGCGATAAGGGCGGCGAGTTGGCAGACTGTGAGTCCTCGAAAAGGGCCAGGTCTTCGTCTCTAAGCCGCTCACATCCTTCGCAACAGTCTGGACCACGCCGCACGGATTCGCTGAATTACCCGCCGCCGCGCCTCAGCTACTCTCGGAGCTGCAGAAGGCGTCGCTCGTCATCTTCAAGGGTGACCTCAACTACCGCAAGCTCGTCGGTGACGCTTGGTGGCCTACAACCACTCCGTTCGACGACGCCCTCGGACCGCTGCGCGGCAAGATCGACATTCTCTCGCTGCGGACATGCAAGGCGGACACCGTCGTTGGCTTGCCAGAAGGTACGGAAGAGCGGGTGGAGAAGGAGGACCCGAAATGGCGGATCAACGGCAAGTGAGTAAAGCCGTCGACTTCCCCTTTGATGCAGCATCGACACTGACGCTTGTGACCCTCTGTAGGTACGCCGTTGTCAGCTTCTCGCCGCGAGACTCATAGAAGATATGCTGGGCTTCGTAGAATGGTATGTCTCTCGCGACTTGCGGTCAATTATAGACGTTCACCACGCTAAACCTGTTTCTAAGAGTCGCTCCGTACACCTGGAAGCCGAGGAAAGCGCTTCTTGAGTCCCGTTCGCACCTCCTCCTCACCGCGAGTCTCTCTCCCCCCCGTCCTCTCACTCTCGCTCGCTCGCTGGCTTCGAAACGCTTACCGCCCACCTGCTACGGGTCAGAAGGCCTAGTGTGAGCCACTGCTAGACCGCTTGCGCTCTCGAACGCCTTAAAACACTCGTCCCGTCTTCATCACCTCGCTCTTCTTGTGGCCGGTTCTTCTGCTCGCCGGGGCTTGCGAAGCAGTGAGTACCTCCTTGGGACTATACATGGCTCGCCCCCGCCCAGTTTAGGCCACCAGCGCGCACGCCTGCCTCGCCCGCCTTCGTTCAACCTGCTCACCTCGTTCTGTCTCGTCCGCAGAGCATGCCACATCACGGTATTCCGCCCGAAGTCGTCGACGACATCCTCGACTTTGTCAAGGACGACATACGCACCCTGCTGAGCTGTTGCCGCGCGTCTCGCGGCCTCAGTGCACGCGCGAAGCCGCTTCTTTGGCGCTCGCTTGAGATCACCTTTCTCACGGCCAACAACGGCTCGAACCCTCTTCTCGAACGCCAAAGCGCCTTCTTGACGGACGCCCTCTACACGAACCCGAGTCTTGGCAAGTTGTGCGCGGCTTTGACGATCAGCTGGCGCGAGAAGGCGGTTGGCGACTTGGTCCGCATGCGCACGACGCCGTCTGCCGCCACAATCAAGGAGCTTTTCGACCTCGTGCCGTACGTTGAGGAGCTCTCGCTCGTCGACAAGAGCACCTACCCGCGCGCGAATAGCGTCGTCGAGAAGTCCATCATCGCGGCCCTCGCTTCCTTCAGCGGATGGAAGACGACGCTGCGCAGCCTGTCCATGCCTCGTCTGCAAGACGAGACATTCTCCTTCATCCTCGACAAGCCGAAGCTCCAGTCGCTGCGCGTCGAAACCGCCTCCTCGAAGTACCCTCTCCCGACCGACTCGGCGCCGTGCTTCCAGCTGTCCGATCTCGCGTTCGTCCTCGATGTCGACGAGTCAATTTTCGACTTCGGAACAGCCAACTCGCGTCTCACCTTGACGACCTTGTCGGCACCCTTCTCCTACCCCTTCTCGAAGATCGTTCCCGCATTCCCGAATCTTCGCCACCTCACGATCGACTTCACCCTCTACGCGAGGGGGAATCGCTCGCTTCAGTGGTCCCAGGACAAGCGCCAGGGCCTCAAGCTTTTCCTCGGCGACGATGAGCAATTGGAAACTCTCATCTTCCACCACCCAGTTGGGTCTCCAGCTGAGGGCCGCGCGTCTCTCGTGGGTGCGCGCCTCCCGCGTCGACTCTCCAAATTCATCCTCTCGCAGTGGACTTCCCGCCCCCACTTGGTCGAGTGGTACGTTCAGCGCGGACTCGAGACCGGCGACTGGCCTCCTACGCTCAAGGAGTTCGTCTGGACGAGCAAGGAGGAGGTGTCGGAGGAGGCGAAGGCCAGTATCGAAAAGGTGTGCCTCGACGGCGGGCTTTCGAAGGTCTCGTTCGAAGCGTGAGTGAGCGAGCGGGTCAAGGGACCGGGTTGTTGCGGCTGTGCCTTCTTTATTTTTCGACTGACTTCCCCGCGCTCTCTAGCTTGCAACGACGATGTGACGCGCACCGCAGACTGATGAGTGGAGAGCTATCCTTCTCACCGTCTCGTCCGTCTTGGATTCGCTTTCTTCCCGTTCTCTCTCGATATCGTCGAGTTGCGCGGAGCGAAGTGATCAGACGCCCGCAGCTCTCAGACAAGCCGGAGCCGTGAAGGCTTCGCCTCGTGTGTGTAAGGACGTGAAACGGACGAGATTGACAGGCGGCAAACGGCAAATTCTACCACTCCTCCTGCTCAGACTTCTCAGAGTCCGTCACGTCATCCTGCGACGGGATCGTGGAGTTCGGAGGATGACGAGTGAAAAGGCCGAATAACTGCAGGGCGAAGGATCAGGTTTTGGGACCGAGGCAATCACGAAAGGCAGGGGAAATGACAGCGCACCGCTTCATTGCCTACCTCGCCAAGGTAGTCGGCAAGGTCATCGTACCACATGCTGGCTTCGAGGAAGACGCGGTCGCCCGAGCAGCGGAGAGGGCGCCAAGACGTGAACGGCATCTTCAAGCATGCCCACTTCGGCACAGGCTCGTCCTTCCAGCAAGTCATCCATGGGTGAGTGCTCCGGAACTCGTCTTGATCTTGAGGATCCGCCAATGCCGTCCAAAAGCTGGCATAAGCGTGCAAGACTTGGAGGACAGTCACGCCTCCGTCGTCTTCGAGGTCCGCGAGCGTCGTGCGATCGTGCTTGACGGAGAACTTGACGCAGGCAGGCGACGTGGCAAACTCTGCGCAGACAGGGTACTCGTAAAGGTTGGAAGACGGGTATGTTGCTCCGCGAGGATCGTCGAGTCCTTCCGTCAAGCCGCGGTGGCAGTGGACGAGACGGGCCATTTCCCAGGACGTGCCACTGCCCACTTTATAAGCGTCGAGCACCGGGTGAAGCTTGTACTCGATCTCGGACTCGGAAGCTGGGACAGGCGACTTGCGGAAGAGGGCGAGGTCGAACTTCGGGTCCTGCGCGAAGGAAGAGGCATCAAGGCTTCCCCTCGGACCTAGGCACCTCGCGCACGCACCTGAACGAGCTGGTAGAACCTCTTGTTGATCCTCCTCGCGCGACGCAGGTCCATGTACCTGAGCGAGCCGAGAATGTCCAACCAGATCTCGTCGGGGAGAAGGAGGGGGAGAGAAGTGGGCATGGCGTTGGAGACTGCGCGAAGGTTCGTGGCCGGCTGAGAGAATACGGTACAGCAGAACGCGAAGCCTATCGAGGCGATCAAGCGAGGATGAAGCGAGAGCGAGTGAGAGGACCGAGGGAAAGAGGGGAAGAACGCTCGCTGCAGTCCTCGAACTTTGCGCTGGCATATGCGAGCTGGGTATCGTCTTTCGTGAGGCGCTCTGAGCTCTTCGCTGCCACGCGAGTGACCTGCGACGCCTTTCCGCGAGGTGACCCTCCTCTGAAACCTCGCTCTCTCCAGCGGACTTCGTTTCCAACGAGTTTATTCTCAAGTCGAGACAACCAGCGTCTGTACGTCCTGTCCGTCTCATCCCGCCGCGATCACTCCATGACCAGGCGGCTTAGGAAACGCCCTCGTCGTTTCCTCCCAGACGCTCGCTCCGTCCTCCTCGTCCGACGAGAGGGAGAGCATCGACCTGGAGCTGTCGAGCGAGGTTTTGGAGGTTTGGCGGAGGTGCTGAGGTGGAGAGGGGAGGGGAGGGAGAGGGGCGGGCGTGGTGGTGTGCGTGGGAGGGGCGGAGTAAGGGAGCTGAGGGAGAGGCGGGAGGGAAGGGAGGCGAGGAGGGGAAGCTCGACGCGATATGGCGGGACGCGATGTAGGCGAGTCAGTACGAGGAGCCGAGTGAGCGACTGGCGCGGGAATCGTGAGGGCATCCGAGGCGCTCGACGAAGACGTTGGCGACCCGCGATGAGTCGACGCCAGTCCATCTATACCGAGTCCAGGCGGGGACGGCAACGGCGAGACTGGCGGCGGCCATTTCGGCAGCGCCGGAACAGGCGGAACGACTTCGTCCCTCGCGATCCTCCTGCTCCTCCTCGCCAGCATCGGCTTCGGCTCCCTCTCCTCCTCTTCATCGCTGCTCCAGGCAAGATCAAGGAAAGGCCTGCTCTCCCTGCCCCTCTCCCTTCCCCTCGCACTCCCAACATCCCTCTCACCGCGCTCAACACCCTCCAACGCCCTCCTCTCCAACTCCGCAATCCTCTCCGTGCTAACCGGCAGCCCGCTCACCTCCTCCTCTTCCTCCTCAGCATCCTTCTTCCGACGCCCTTCGAGCGCCTCAAGCGCGTGCGTACGTTGGCGCCGCCGGGTGTGGGAGGAGGCGACGGAGATGAGGGTGTTTGTACGTTTCGGGCGGGGCTGGCCCATTGGCGCAAGAGGAGTAGTGGTGGAGAAAGATGAGGCGGAGGGGATGGCAGGAAGGGGGCTCGTTGGAGCGGGAAGGGCGGTGAGCAGCGGGTTCGTCGAGGGGACGGTGATGGGCGTGACTGGCGCCGAAGCCGGAACCGGTGCGAGTTCGAGCGTGGTCACGTCCGGAATGGGCGGGAGAGGGTGGTGAACCGGTGCTGAGGCGGTCGAAAGGACAGACGAGTCGGACACCCCTCGAGCGCCGACACTGGGCATCTTCGTCAGTCCCGAGACCCGCTTCATCCCGATCGAGCCAGGCCTCGATGGTCCCGCAACCGACTCTCCCGGACTATCGTTCGACGAAGCAGGTTCAGAGAACCCACCGTTCCCGAACAACGACGAGAAGCGGATCGAGTCGGGCGAGAGTCGACCCGTCGTACTCCCGTACCTCGACATCCCGCTCGCGCGGAAATCGGGCATGTCGCGGAACGTCGACGAGGCGTACGAGGCGATTCGAGCGGTTTGAGGGAAGGACTCGACCGAAGACGAGTGGCTCAATTCGCGCGTCTTGTTGCGGGTGCTTTTGGCGAGTTCGGGAGAGGTGTCGGGTGTGACGGGAGCGGAAGTTGGGACGAGTGGCTGCCATGGGTCGTCGTCTTCCGACTGCAGAGGCGTGAGGCGAGGAGAGGTGCTCAGTTCCGGACTGCTGATCGGGATGTCGAGCGAGGCAAAGACCGGTGCGGGTGTGCTGATGGAGCGTTGGCGGACGTGGATAGGCGGAGCGAGTCGAGCGGTGCCGGACGAGGCGGTGCGAAGCGAGGGAGAGCTCGAGTCGCTGCGAGGGAAGAGCTCGTACTTGGGCGCTTGCAACGACGTCGTGCTGGGCCTGCACGCCGACCACCGTCAGCTTCAGTCTCGTTGGTCATACTCGCAAACGCAGCGCACCTCTTGACGAGCGTCCTTTTGCGCTCAAGTCCGAGCAACCTCGCCGCCTTTCCATGCGGCACGATCTCTTCGCCGAGAATCTTGGCCGCCTTGCCCTTGACGCCTCCAGCACGCGACGACTCGTCCATCGAAAGACCCGCCGAACTGCCTTTGCGACCGTCGCCGCGAGACGAAGCGGTTGCGGGCGAGAGGCGGATCGAGGCGGACGGCGGGGTGAGAGGCGCGGGTGCGGTGATCGTCCCTTCGAAGCCGTATTGCGACTGAGGCGAGCTCGGTGGCGAAGGCTGGATCGTAGCGCGCCCGAGATGGCGCAGACTGAACTTGCTGCCCTTGTTGACGAGGCGCTTCAACCCGCTCCTGCCCTTCGAAGGGGACACCTTGATCCTCGCCGTGTTCTCCTCGTCCGAGTCGTCGCCGTACAATCCGCCCGCAGGGAAGAGACCGGCCCTCGCCGCCGAGACGGGCGACAAGAACACCCTGGCGCTCGACTCCCCGCTGCTGGCGCTTCCCTGCACCCTGTGCGCCCGCTTGCCGCCCTGCACTGCTTCTTCACTCTTCACCTGACGCCCTGCACCCGGTTTCACGGGCGGCGAGTCCTCGAACGGGTCGACCGCCACCAGCCCCTCGTCCCAGGGGATCTTGCCCCCGTTGCTGGCCGGGTCACGCTTGTTTGGCGAGCTGTGAGTGCGCAGGAAGCGTGGTCTGCTGGACTGGGCGGGTGAAGCGGGCACCAGGTCGTCGTCTGCGTCGCTGGTGGCCGTGTGGCACGCGCGGAGGATCGAGTGGCCCTCTTGGCGGGTGAGGGGCTTTGTCGCTGCGAGCGAGTAAGCTTGCGGCATCGAGAGAGTGTCGTAGCGAGTGAGTGGGAGCAGCAAGAGCCTGTCTGCTGCATGCGAAGCCTCGTCCGAAGCCTGGCGAAGCGAGCGTCGCGCGATGGCGAGGACGACGAGGAGCGGGAGAGCGGCAGAGGGGCTCGTGCACGCGCGCGACGCAGCGCATCCCCTCGCGTGTCAGCGAATCGACGCAGGGGAACAATCGCTGGCCACCGAACAACCGCAGAGACAACCGTCGCACACGAGCAGGGACAAAGGGAAACGCAACGGAGGTGACCTTCCTAACTGGACGACGGCGGCGACGGCGTCTGGCATGCAAAAGCGGTGGATAACCGGGCGATGGGGATAAGTCACAGATAGCTGCAAGCGAGAGCAGTCAGCATGTTCAGGGAGACTGAGAGGAAGAGGCTAGCGCACCTCGAGACACGCGCGCTCAAAAGTCCTCCTCGTCCTCCTCGTCCTGCAGCGTCCTCCTAACCCACGCCGCATTCTCCTCCTCCCCCTCGCTCCCACTCCCAGGGACAAACAGCGCATTCGGGTCGACCTCGCTCGCGTTCCCCTCTTCCTCGTCCTCCTCCTCGTCCTCTCCTTCTCCCTCAGACGCAACATCGTCATACCCCATCTCAAACCGGTTCTGCCACACCCTCACCCTCCTTACAACCCCACTCTCACCCCTCACGAGCGCCGCCCTCTTCCGCGCGCGATTGATCCGCCCAGCACAGCGAAAGACCTCCTTCCACCCTTCATCGCCCACCTCGTCGTCCGCCAAAGCAGCCCAAACGGGCTCGCGAGTAAGGCGCCGGGTGCGCCAGTCTAGTGTGCGCGGGAGAGGGTAGGTCGTGTGGAACCGGAGGTCGGTGAGTGAGGGGAGGGGCGGGGTGGAGGAGCGGTGTGATGAGGGCGGGTGCAGGAGCGAAACGAGATCGGGGATGGCGATGGACGGGTGAGGGAGATAGTGGAAGGCTACGTCGCGGAGGGAAGAGAGAGGCGGGGTGGAGTCGAGCGACTTGCTCCTCGTCCCGTCCTGGTCGACGCCGAAGAACGCCTCGCACAGCGCGAGGTCGACGCCCGGGCCCGCGAGCGTCAGCTCCTTGAGATGCGTGAAGCGGGCGAAACGAGCGGCTGAGACAGAGGGAATCGGGTTGCTGAGCGTGAGGTCGAGCACTTCGAGTGCTGCGGCGAACGAGGCGGGCTGGTCGGCGGGAAAGATTGAGAGGAGTGGGGCGTTCGTCCCGCTCTGCCGGACGAAGTCGACCTCATTCAGCCGGAGCGTCTTAAGTTTCGCCGACCGTGTCCCGCCGGCCTTGCCCAGCAACCATCTCAATTCGAGATCGTCACCCAGCTCAACCTGGCGCAAATTGAGCTCCTCGAGCGCAAATGCGGGGAAGGCGAGGGATGCATCATCGGCCGGCACGACGAGTCGGACGCGCCACAGGTCGAGCGTTGTGAGGGAGGACCAGGTCGTCAGAGCGTGGACGTAGTGCGAGGTCGTGCTGGGGTCGGACCAGATCTGGAGGCGCTGTTTGGCGTCTGGAAGGGCGGTGACGAACCCCTCAAGGTTGGTCCACGCCGCCATAGCCTCCGCCAGTCCCGCGAGTGCCTCCCCGTCCGCCTCTTGGCCCTCGACATCCCTCTTGTGCACCCACTCGAGCGGCACGCCAAGCTGCACATCCACCTCGACATGCCTCACGAACGGCGTCCGCTCAAAGATCTCCCTGACCAGCTCCACCGTCCGTTTCTGATCCAGTACCGGGCGGGCGACGAGAAACTCTGCCGGATCGCGGTCCTGGACGATGACGGACCAGTCTGGCTTGGGCAACTCGAGCCTCAGCACGCGGATGTGAGGACCTGCAACCCCATCACGCAGGAGGTCGAGGAACGCAAGGTCCGAACCGTCCGAGGAGCCGATCGTGAGTGAGATACGGGCGTAGAGGCGGCGTCGGATGAGCGGGACGAGTGAGGGGTGGATAGGGAGGAGGCGCGCGAGGGTCTTGCGTGCGAGACGGGTAGGGGAGGGCAGGAGGAAGGAGAGGATGTGATCGAGGAGTTCGGCGGAGAGGCGGAGGAGAGGGGAGGGAGGCGGGTCGCTCGCAGTAGGGGAGGTCATAGTGTATCTGTGCGGTCACCAGCGAAGGTACTGAGCCCCTCTTACAGCCATCTCGTTGAGCGGGAAACACTCACGTCAACAGTCCGGGAAGGTCAGGGAGCGCCCTCTATCGCAATGCACCGTCCGATCCGCTAGTCCTTCCGTCTATTCCTCTTTCGAAGGCTCCTTCTGCGCAAAGAGCGAGCCCGTTCGAGGCGATTGGACCGGGTTGAGAGATGAGGACGAGAGGACGGCGACAGCTGGACAGGCGGTGTTGTACGGGCGGAGTCGGACACGGCAGTCTAGAAGGCAAATAAGCGAGTCTCTTCAGCACAGCAAGCGACCCTGCAGTTGTTGACGAGGTGGTCTTTCTCAACCCATGCGGGGCTTCACTCGTTCACTTCGACCAACTCGCCCTGCTCCTCTGGCGTGCTTGGGACTTTGCTGCATTGCTTCGTGACTGCTTTCAACTGCGGGTTGTTGCCCCCGAAGCATCCCATCCAAGTCCGGCGCCGTCAACCTCGCACGAACCCTTTCCAGGTTGAACGAGACAAAGTAGCGGCTACAGCAGGCCGGACGGATCTTGGGCTAGTCGAGGTGCGTGAGGACGTTCTCCTCAGTGCTGTTCCGAGGCGGGTGGGCTTTCGATGCGGATATGAGGGAGTTCGACGAGAAGACGGGTCCTGTCGAGGGGAAGATGGCGGTGGGCAATGCTCCCGATGGCGCATTGGGCTCGAACGTTGGGCTCAAACTACGTGCAGTACGAAGAGTGGCCGAACGGACGGCCTTCGAAGAAGACGGGGCCCGAGCGACGGAGGACACGAGCCAGAAGGGTGGACTGTTCACGCACAGCAGCGCTCGTATCGAGCGACTGCGAATACGAGAGGCTTGACAAGCTGACCCACCAGCAACCCCGCAGATCCCTCGCGAATCTTCACCATGTCCTTCTTCTCCCGACTTTCCTCGAAATCGAAAGACCGCCGCTCCTCTTCAAAAACCGGTCCTTCCAGCGCCGCGCCGACAGAAGACCTCCTTCCTCTCCAACTCCCCTCGTCATCCCTCCTCACGGACGCTTCGCTCGCCAACCCGCTCCTCCTCTCGACACCGACTCGCAATCGCTATGGCGAAGACAGCGACCTCCGTTCGCTGCGGAGCGCCGAAACTTCGCCCTGGGTCGATGTTGGCGAGACGCCCAGGACGCTGAGGACGCTCGATGTGAAGGGAAAGCGGGCAAAGGTGCCGGAGTTGTTCGACCCGGTTAGGGAGAAGAAGGAGAAGGTCAGGCTGGAGAAGGCGAGATTGGGAGTGGCGGAAATGACGCTTCTGATGGACGAGTGTGGCTCGGTGATCAAGCAGCGAGGTGAGTCGAGCCCGGTTTCTCCCCCTTGACGAAGCTGAGCACCTTCACCCGCAGGTCTGACAATTCTCGGCCTGTTCCGCCCGTTCCGTGCCGCCGAATCACTCCCTGCCCAACGCAAGCTCTGCCTCCTTTTCCTCGACTACATGGCCGAGTTCGACGCCGCACCTTCTTCGTCTGACTCGATTCGCGGGTCCGAGGCGAGCAAGGCGGTTCTTCTGCACGCTTTCAAGGAGGAGTTGCGGTATGCGAACGTGCACGACGTTGCGGCCGTGCTTAGATGGGTGAGTGGGACGAGTCGGTCCCTTCAAGCAGACTACGGCTGATCGTTCGAGCTTCGCGGCCAGGGCCTTCGCCACTTCTCCAGCTCGCCCTCCTTCTCCGGCTCGCCCACGCCCTCTGTCGACTGGTACACTTCCTTCCTCCGTCGCTCGAGCTCGTTCAGCCCTTCGCATCCACCGCATTCCTTCTCCGCCTTCCTCCTCCCCTCTCTCCCGCCCGCCTCGCAAGCGCTCCTCCTCTCGACTCTCACGCTCCTCCAAGCAGTCGCCGCCAACGCTCAGCACAACGCCATGACCGCTCGGCGACTTTGCCGCTCCTTCGGAATCTACCTGTTCGGCATGTCGCCCTCGTCCGGCTCCTCGAGCTTCGACGACCTGTACAACGCATGGCGCGAAGCGGGCGACGCCCTCGAGGGATGTTTGAAGGCATTCTTGAGGGAACAGACGGACCTACCGCCTCGGCTGCAGGAGCTGATCGACGATTATCCGGCTTGGGTCGCGGCGAAAATGAGTGGGTCGAGCGAGGGCGGGAGGAAAGTCAGGGTTGTCAAGGTTGAGGTCGAGTCGAAGGGCGAGTGGAGACAAGTCGGAGAGGCGGAGGTAAATGACCAGCAGACGGGATTTGTGGCGAGCGGGAGAGGCGCGGATGGACCGACGGACAAGCCTGCGAGAAGGAGGCCAGTCGAGATTCTCCTCGCCGCCATCGAGGCGGATCCGCTGGCTGGCGATGTCGCGACGGACGAGGCAGCGTCGGCTTGGTCGCGCATCGTCGAACGGGCGAAGAAGGGCGGAGCGGACTCGGGCGCGACTGCGGTGCTCGAAGACGAGGTCATTCGCGTCCTCGAGCTGCTCAACCTTGACCAGCCCACGACTGCCGACGACGCCGACCCCTTCACTGGAGACGGCTCGCCGCGCCCCCGAGTCCGCTCACTCTTCAGCGACCGCCGCTCCAGCTCGTTCGGCACCTTCTCGAACTTCTCAACCGGCAACCTCCTCGCGCCTTCGCCTTCTCAGCGGACGATCACGCCGACGTGGAACGACTTCAAGCAGACTGGCTTCGCGGCGACTGAACTCGATGCTGCGAACGAGTTCGGCCTGTACAACCCCGAGACCGACGGCCGCTTCACCAAGCCTGCTCAACTCCCTCGCAAAGTGGTCGAGCCAGAACACCGCATCGTCGGCGTCTCGATCTGCGAAGTCGACGAGGAGTTTCCGGACGTTTGGATCGACACGCTCGGCGAGTCAACGTCGACGTCCGCGCCGGTCGCGGGATGGCCCTCGCTCGTCGTCGCGCCTCTTCAGCCCGCCGTCGTCTCACAGGAAGGCGACTCTAAGCGCATGATCGATCACCTCGTCATCTACGAGAAGCTCCTACCTCCCGCCCAGAAGCCCGCGCCTTTCGCGCCACGCCCTTCTCTCCCTTCGACTGCTTCTCAACCTGGAGTGCACCGCGCCTTCTCGACTGCCTCAATCCTCGGTCGGCGCGGCCGCAAGTCGGACGTCCTTCCGGCTCCCGCCTCCGCTGCAGATGGCGAGTCAACGCTTTCGCCCGGTCGCAAGTGGCGCCGCCGTGCGAGCGCGATCTTCGCGACTGGGTCGTCCGAGGTCGACAAGCCGAAGCGCGAGGGGTCCTCCGGATCAACCACCAACCTCAACATGCCCTCGTCACTCTCGACTCTTCTCCCCTCAGCACGCCGCAACCGCAAGTCCTTCATCGCCGCCGACTTGCCGCCTCCGCTCCCTGCCATCTCGACCGTTATACCGCCTTCCGAGCCTTCCGAAAAGTCGCCGACTTCTCCCACGTCACCTTCGAGCATGTTCCGCTCTTTCTCGCGCAATCTGATCAAGAAGCGCTCGAGATCGTCGCTCTACAGCCTCAGTCGGCAGCGGAGCCCGATTTCGGAGGAGGGCGAGCCTGTGCCCGTACCGCCTTTGCCGGCGCACTTTGCGGAAGAGGCGAGCGAGGCGGCCGAGTCGGGCGCCGCCGTCGAACCTGAGGCTGAAGGCTACAACGTCGAGCCGGCTTCGACGAGCGCCGTCGCGCACGTCGACGAGGTCTCGTTCGAAGCGATGCCGCCGGCACCCTCGAACGAGCTTGCGCAGGCTGTCGTCGAGGCGATGGAGAATAATGCGCCAGTCGCCGAACCGACTGCGCCTTCTGAAGACCGTGGGAAGGAGCAGACGAAGGAGGAGTCGCGTGACAAGGCGCTCGAAGGACTGCCAGTCCTCGGCGCACCGGTCGCGACTGTCGAGTTGTCGGAGCCGGCGGCTGAAGACCTTCCGAGTCACGAGCGCGGCGGAGCCGAACCGGTAGGCTCTCCTCTCGTAGACGCACAGGCTTCGGTCGACGAGGCGCCGCCTGCTCCGGTTGAAGCCGCTGCAGCTCATACCGACGACTATGCCTCGCCAGCAAACGCCGAGGAGCTCTCGCCGGTATCCTTCGACGCTACCGGATCGCCTTCAGCCGATCAGCCCAATCCGGTCGCCGAGCAGCCGCCAAACCGGATCTCGACAGAGGCCGAGCAGCAGCAACAAGGCGCAGAACCGCCTGTCGCGGAACCAGCCCTGAGTGCTGAGGGGCAACACGAGCCTGCGACTCCGGCTTCGCCTCTCGTCACGCTCTCTCCGCCTCCCGAAGATGCTCTCGAGCCTGCCGAGGCCGAGGTGCCGCTTGAAGCGAGCGAGAACGACGGTGCGTGACGCTGTTGCGTGCCTCCCAGGACCGAATTGACTCCTGCCTTCTCGCAGCACCTCTCGGATTGGGCCTCGTCAACGCGCCCATCCAAGTGGTCGAACCCGAACCGGCACGAAGCGACAACGCTCCGCCAGCTACGCCGCGCAAGCCATCGAATCCACAGCTCGCCTCACCCTCCACCCCCTCGAACTCGGCTCTCTCGCCCGCTTCGCCCTCCTTGACCAACTCGCCCACTCCCTCGACCGGCTCGACGGCATCTCGCAAGTTCCTCAGCAACGTCGGCGGGTTTCTTCGTCGAAACAAGAGCACGAGCGAGAAGGAGCAGGCGCGACGGGATAAGGAGGAAGCCAAGCGCGAGAAGGAGGAGAAGAAGGCGCTGCGGCAGCTAAGGGAGGAGGAGCTTCGGAAGGAGAAGAAGGAGCGCAAGAACCCGATACCGGTTTCGAACGTCAAGGCCAGAGTCAAGGAGATCGAAGAGGAGCAGGCGGCTGTCGCGGGTGCGGTGTCGCCGAGTCCTACCACGCCGACCCGAGACCGCCACATTAGCGGTATCGCCCGCCCGTTGTCAATGATCTCGCCTGGCTCGGCCAATGGAGCATCGCCAGTGGCTCGCGTTGCCGCCTCGCCGTCTCCCGCCTCGCCCTCGCCTGCCTCGCCTGCGCAGGCTCCTACGTCCCCGACAGCGCCAGAGTCCGTTCCGACTCAACTCTTCGCGTCGCCTGGCCCGTCTTCGATGTCAACAGCTCAAGTGGAGCAGAAGGCGCATCCCGCGACAGAAGCGAGCGCTATCAGCGCACCCGACGACGTCTTTGCCGCATCCTCCCCGCCGGAGGCCGATTACGACGCTTCGGCTACGGTCGAGGCGGAGCAGCTCGAGGCGGAAGGCGCCCATCCCCCACCAGCCATTCAGGTCGACGCTGCGCCCGAGATGTCTGCGATCACCCCGCCCGCCGCCGACGAGGAGGTCAACGGGGCGCTTGCAGCCGATTTGCGCGAGCCTGTCGAGGAGCACACCCTCGTCTTCGATAATAACACGCCTGTCGCGGCGCCTCAGCAGGAGATGCAGCACCTAAACGTCAAGGTTCCGTCTAGCTTTGCCGATCTGCCCTCGCCCATGCCCTCGCCTACACCTTTCTCGGAAACCGACGGTGAACAGCGCCCGCTTGCGGAGGACCTGACGGAGAAGATCCCTGAGCTTCACCCGCCCGTCTTTGAGCCAACTCGGACCGCGCCCGAGTCTCGCGCCACTCCAACAGCTCCGCAGCCGATCGAGCCTGCGCAGCTCGACTTCTCTCACGAGTCAGCGGCGCCTCATCCGGCGTTTGACATGAGCGACGAGCGTACGCACAACGAGACGCCTGAAGACGAGTCCCCTCGAGAATCCGCGGCATCGAGCGCCGCCGAGCGCGATGTGCGTCCTGCTACGCCTGTTCAACATCATCCCCGCGCGGAGACGATCGCTTCGCCTGCTCAAGATCCATCCGCAACGCCCTCCAAGCCTCCCGCCTCCCTCATTCCGCCTCACGTCGTCCACAACTCCCCCTCTCAGCAGTCACTGGCGACGACAACTTCCTTCGAGACGGCCAACTCTGCCGCGCCATCGACAAAGCGAGCCTCGCTGGACGAGGTCGCGGTGCGGCCTCCTGAAGCTTAGCCCGCTGTCCCCGCTTGCCCCTCCGCTCTTACTCTGTCGCTCTCTGATCCCATACCCGTACAACGTCCTTACCAGCGTCATCGTCGAGCTATGCAGACCATGGCAGCGCAACGCGCAACCTTCCCGTCGTCCATACCTCTTGCAACCGCAGTTCTCGTTCTGCCTTCTGCACTCCGTCCACTTTGCATACACGCTGCACGCTGTGAGAGACAGTTGAGCGCGCTCAGACTCTGCCAACCCCGCCGAGATCGTCTCGAGAGGCGACTTCACAGGTTGACCGCCTCGAGTTTCCCGCTACACCGCTTCGCCTCCTGCTAGCTGTTAGCGTTGTCGCTGTTTGCACTTGAGACCTCTGCGTATATCGACACCTGAGTGCCGCGCGCTTTCGCCGCCGGACTTCACTCCTTCTCTTGTCTTGGCCTCTGCTCCTCGGCCGCAGCCTCCCGTGTGGCTCGTGTCTAGTGCGCCGCCGTTCACCGAGCCCTGTCGATCTGTCGGCACTGCGGCCAGCCGTGCGAGGTCGCTGTCGTACGTTCACTCCTCCTCCGTCTTCGAGCGCACCTGACGGCGACGACGCTGTTCGCAGGATCTAGTCGGCCTTCTACTACTTCTCAGCGCTTAAGGACCACGTACGACGCTCACAAGGCCAAACATCAGCCCATCCGGTACTCGTCCTCGAAACCGACTTCCCGCCGGTCTTCGCCTTTCGCCCCTCTCTCGCCTCCGACAGCCTCGTACGTTCTCCTCAGTCTAGCTAGCTTCGCTCCAAAGAATACACTGACATTCAGAAGCGCGACACACAGCGACCTTCATCTCCTCCCACCCGCTTTTCCCTCGCTCGCAACCTCCCCTCCGAGATGCAGACTCGCAACAAGGCGGCGCGGATTTCCCCCTCACAGTCACCGGAAAAGCCTTCTGCAGCAGTCGCCGAGTCGCCATCTCCAGAAGGAGTGGACGACAGCGGATTTTGGGACGAGGAGAAGCAGGTTGGGAAGAAGCGGACTCGCGGCGGAGGACATTTCGCGAGGAAGACCGCGAATCGAGGAATGGTAGCGGGTACTGCGGTAGGCGAAGCCGAAGAAGAACCCGTCGGACGGGTCACTCAAGCGCGGAGGCGGATTCAAGGTGTTGAAGCTGGTGGGCACGAATTCGCATGTCTCCGTCTTCCGCTACGCCCTAATGACAGTGTTGCTCGGACCCGCAGCTCGCGGGAACTACCCATCGCCATCCCCTGAGCTACATCGCTCGCCCGAAAAGGTCGCTACCTTCAACGAGACTTCCGCTTCGCAAAACCCGCCCAAACCCCGCTCTTCCAGGCCCTCACCGCAGTGGCTGTTCGACGTCGATCCCGTGTTGGCCAGCTCCAACGCCGAAGCGGAGGGATCAGAGCCTTCGAAGCAGCGGAAGACCAGTCTGCTTGCTAGTCCCGAGAAGCCGCAAGCTGTCGATCGCGCATCGAGCATCGTAGGTCGGCACAAGCACAAACCCGTCGTCGTCAGTAGGTCCCCGTCCTCAGGCACCCTTTTGCATCGACGGCCGGAGAACGCGTCGTTTTTCGAAGGTCCGTCAACGAGTTCCTTCTTGTAACGACTATTCAAGCCCTGATGGCCGGTCTTCCCCCTACAGTGATCGTTAAGGACGACGCCTTCGCGATCATCACCGCGACTTGCGACTTGCGAGCGAGGAAAGCGCGCGGCCTCGTCGTCCCTGCTCAGGTTCTCTACCCGCTTCGCGTCCTCCGCAGCACCGATGCTTGGCCTTTCACTCTCTATCGCTTCCCTCTACCCTCTCTAGTGACAGCCGAGACGCTCAGCAGCGTCAACGTCGCTTGCTACGAGCGAGTCTTCGCGGGACCCACGGAAAACGCGAAGGTCGACGCGCTCTCGGTTGGCCACCAGGACTCGGAGGCAGAAGCAAATAAGTGGGACGAAGGGCGAGCGGTCCACTGGCTTTTGGAGGTCTCGAAGGACAGGGCGGAGTGGGTTATCAAGTGACAATTCCCTCGCGAGGCTCGCATTTCGTCGTTTCTTCCGTTGTTGTGCTCTTCGCATCTCTACGTAGCCATCAAGTGTGCCGTGCAGGCTCCAATGAGAGCGGAAGCGCTCGATTACCTGACTTTCCACACACCTTCGCCTCTCTCCCTCCTCCCCTTCACTCGCTATCGTACACTCAGCTTGCGACCGGCTCGCCCCCAGCTAGATCGCCGCCACAGCCATGTCCGACAACGCTGCTAGCCCTCGCGCTTCCCCCGAGGCCGCTGTCAAGGAGCCAGCGTCGATGCGCCTTCCCGACGAAACCTGGGTCTCAATCTTCCGCCTGCTCGGATACAAGACGCTCCTGCACGTTCGCCGCATCTGCAAGAGGTTCAAAGATCTGCTCGAGGTGCGTCACAAGCCTCGCGCTCGTGGGTGGCCACCGGGCTGACCGTCCTCGCAGAACTCGACTTCGACGACGTCTTCTTCCGCCAAGCCCCTCCCGCGAAGCTAGAGAAGAAGCAGAAGTACAAGCTGCACCCGATGCTCAACGATGTCGACTGCGCGAGGGTCACCCCGACGGAGGCGGAGATCATGCACTACAAGGAGGGAAGCGGAGACGAAACCTTCAACGGTTACGACTACCCTGCCGCCAAGGAGTTTGCGACCGCGCCGGCCTGCACGTCGATTGATATCGAGCTCAACGAGTCGAAAGTCGGCAAGGTCAGCAACAAACGCGGCGTGACGGTCTCGCAAGTCCTCGTCGCGTGCGGCAAGTTCTGGGAAAAGCCCATCCCCGACTCGGTCGCGAACAGGGTCAGGCGCCAGGGTGGCTGGCCCAGGAACGAGAAGATCACGAAGCTGACGACGATGGGCGACCACTGCTTCTTCGAGGGTTGGGGGCAGCCGACGGGATTGGGAGAGGGAAAGGTTCGCCTCGCTTCACATTGGTTTGGCTCGTAGCTCTCAGGTGCGTGCTGTCTCTCCCCAGCCTTTGCTCGCTAGAGCTGACTGACGTTCTGCGATCCGCCGCAGCCAGGCTTTCATCGCGCCCGCTTGTCCGCCCTCCTCACTACTCCCCCCTTTCTCGCTTTTCGCTTTACTACCCTGCCAACGTCATTGACTGTCTCCGCCTGCACCCGCACGAGTAGGCGCGCATGTCGAATAGTGAATGGGCAGGACTTTGCCGGTCTTGCAAGTGGTGGGAAGCGCCAGTCAATGCGCCTTGTTCGGAAGTTTCCGTCGCCCTTTCTACCTCTAGAAAGCCATTGCAAGCCCTTGAATAGGTTATTGAAGCGACTGAAGCGAAACGACCCCCCGAAAGACTGCCCTTCGCCTCTTTCGCTCCCTCCATTCACTCGCATTCCGTCTCTTCATCTCGCGACAGGCTCGCCACCCCTTCAACAGCTCTAGAGGCTATGTCTCTCGAAGCTACGGAAGCTCGCGAGGTCCCCCGTACTGCCCTTACGAGCCCTTCCGCCCTCCGCTTCTCCGACCAGTTGTTGGTGCTCATATTCAAACAACTCGGCTACAAGACGCTTCTGCACCCTCGCGGGATCTGTAGGAGGTTCAAGGCACTGCTTGAGGTGCGCCAGTCCCTCGAAGCGGCTAGACCCAGCTAGGCTGACCCGTCTCGCAGCGCCCGAGCTTCGACGCTGCCTTTTTCCGTCAGCCGCCGCTCGACCCGCCACAGCGCAGACAGAAGTACTTCATTCATCCCATGCTCGACGCTGCCGACTGCGGAAGGGTGACGCGGGAGATGGCGAACATTACGCACTGGAGCAAGCAAATCAGCGACTTCGAGTGGGTCGAGTTCAACGCCTTCGACTATGCCGCCGTCGAGGAGTTCGCCACCGCTCCAGCATGCACCTCGATCGAGATCCAGCTTGAAGATGCAAGGGTTGGCAGAGTCTACGACGAGAAAGGGGTAACCGTCAAGCAAGTCCTTCACGCTTGCGCCGACTTCTGGGCAAAACCAGTTCACCCGTGGACTGCCAAGAAGGCGCGGGAGGCATACCATTGGCTCAAGAACGAGAAGACGATCACCACACTCAACATGTTGGGCGACAGGTTCTTCGAGGGATGGGAGGAGCCGAAGAATGTTGGAAACGGCAGAGTCCACCTTATCTCGCGCGGCTTCGGCTCGTGAAGCATCGTCTACAGTGCGCTCCAGTCCATCCATGCGTCGCGATGAGCTAGCGCTGACCTTGACCTGCTTGCTTCCGACAGCCTTGGCCCTTACTCGTCCCTTTCCCTTGCCTGCAGATCCTTCCCTTGCGCCGTTCCGTTGCCTTCGAGTGCATTTTCATTCTTTCCTCTCGTGCGTGCGCCGAATGCCCCGTTAAACGACGTGAACGCCCCTTCGTACGCACCTTTGCGGGTTGAGAAGGCCAATGCAAGTTTTGCTTGTTCGCTTTCATGTCTACGCTGGAGGAGACAGCCTGAGAAGCGCATTCGTAAGTCCGCCAGCCATAAAGGAGGAAACGAAGCACACTACAGGTCGAGACCGGCGTCGACCTTCTCCGCTTCTCCTCATCTTCCTGCACTTCACTCGCTCGCGTTGATCTCGCCATGCAGACTTCGCGCCAGCCTGGGATGCCCTTCTACAGCTCTTCAGTCCCGGAAAGCATCCGCCGGGCCCCTCCGACCCCCAGCCTTCTGCTGCGTCTCCCGCTCCGCCTTTGGATTCGGATCCTCCTCCTCCTCGACTACAAGACGCTCATGAACGTACGAAGGGTGTGCAAGAGGCTGAAGACGGCTCTCAAGGTGCGCTACCTCGCTCTCCAACCAGGAGAGCGCAAGTTGACCGCTTCATCCCAGGCCTCCGCGTTCGACCTGCTCCTTTTCCGCCTCCCGCCGCCCTTGCCACTCAGGAAGATCCGCACCTATCAGCTTCATCCAATGCTGCAAGCCGTCGACTGCGCGACAGTCACGCACGACAAGGCGCGGATCAGGACGAGCGGCGGCGGCTACTTGAACGGGTACCGCTATCCCGCCTCGAACGAGTTCGCCAGTTCGCCCGCTTGTGTCAGGATGGTCGTCTACCTGAACGAGGCGAGGGTTGGCATCATCGAGAACGAAAGAGGCGTCACGGTCAAGGAGGTCCTCCTCGCCTGCTCACGGTATTGGCGCAAACCCGTCTCTTCCAACCTTGCAGCCAAGACTCGACGCGAACAGTGTCTCCCACAGCGCGGGAAGCGCTCACATGTCACGAAGATTGTTACGTTGGGCAAGTACTGCAAGTTTGAAGGATGGAAGGAGCCGAGCGGGATGAGCGACGGGACGGTCTTTCTCGCGTCGCACTGGTTTGGCTCGTGGGGTGACTGAGTGCGTTCACATATGCGCTTTTGAAGACACTCGCGACGAGGCTGACGCTTTTACCGTCGCAGGACACGCTCGAATTAGCGTTTCCTCCTTCTTCGCTCGCCCCAGGGTCTCTCTCTCGGGCACTACGCCTGTTCGTCCCGTATTCCAGCTTTACACCAGTAGCGCGACTCTGCAATTTGTGTCTTGAGCGAAGGCGAGCCCGATACGCGAAGTCTGAAGCGCGCAACGCTCGACTCCTCCTCTCGAGGAAGTCAGCTCTTCGTCGCGTCTCGGTTCTCGCTTGCGAAGCCCTCGAGAGCGTCAAAAGAGTATTGCGAGACGCTCGAAAAGCTTGTCGAGCCAAGCGGAGCGACTCGTTGATGAAATCGGTTGCTCTCTCCTCTCTCCCCTCAGCTCGCTCTTGCTGCAACGCCTAGCTTGAATCTGATGTGGAGTCTCTACTACCCTCACTTGATGCCGGGCGCTACTCCGCCGCTTCCCGAGCCGCGTTCACGCTCCCCGACGAGCTTTGGATTCTCGTCTTCCTCAAGCTTGACCCCCGCTCGCTCCGCACGCTCAGAGGGGGTTGTCGCAGCTTCAAAACTATTCTAGAGGTGCGTTCGCGGGCTTGCAACAGGACCGGCTCGAAGTGACACAGCAGACGCGCAGGACAAGGCGTTCGACGAGGTCTTTTTCCGCCAATCACCGACATCGACATGCTGCCAAAGTCAGCTCGTCCGAGTCAACCCTGCTCTTAAGCGCATTCAGCTCGCGCCGATGGTGGATCTTCATCAGGAGGTCTTCAAGAAAAACGGCACACTCTACGCTCCTCACGCAACCCACCTCGGAAACGCTACTCTCCCGTCATGCACTCGGATCCAATGCATCCTCCACACCGACTGGAATACCTTCCAATTCTCGACACCCTCCTACGCCGCGGAAGACGGTCTTCCCGCGCACAAAGTTCTGCGGACCCTCGCCTTCTTCGCCTGCGGTCGAGTTCCTCCTCGTGAGCCTGTCGATCTCGACTCGGAGAACGCCGCAGGATACCACATTCTGCCGGGTCGCATCGCGATGTGGACGATTAGGGAACACTTGAGCGGGACGTTCGAGTTGGACGCGAGCGAGGTACCCCTTGACAAGAACGGCGTCGTAAGGCTCGTTTGGAGTCCGGTGGTCGAGGAGAACTCGACTTGGGTTCGTCAAGTTCGCCAAGGCTGTGGGAGTAGCCGTTACTGACGTGAACTTGTCTCCGCAGCTGTGCGTTTGCTCTTGAGCGAGTGAAGGAACAGCAGGATGATCCCGGCTTTACGCTGATCGCCTTCGAGGAGCTTCAAGTGCGTAACTCCTAGTCGCCTGAAGCCAAGCTAGACGAGGCTGACCGTACCGCCGTCCGCTCAAGAATCCTCGTCCCCTTCCCCAGCTTGCAACCTAGGTCCCCCTCTCCCTTTCAACCACTCCTAGCCTTCAGACCTCGCCTCTCGAGCTGTAGCGGCTTTTTGCAGGGCAATTCACTGTATCGCGAGGCTGTCGGCGCGCGACGGACGTCTCCTCCTCGACTTGAGAAGGCCAAGACATCTTCCTCCCTCTTTTCTCGCTCGCTGCGCGCTCTCAACGCTGTCGAAGCCCTTGGGGGCAAGCCAGTATACCGTTCCGTCGACCAAGCCCGACGACCGCCGTCGTCGAGGACTCCACTCCGCCCGCGGCTGACTCTCCGCTTCCTCGCTCACTCCACTCCCTCGCTCTTTCTTGCCGCTCAAACGAAGCCAATGGACTCGCTGCCTTTCTCGCTTCCGCCACCGACTCTTCCTGCTCGCAAAAAGCCGCTGCCACCGCTTCCTGACGAACTTTTGGTCGAGGTCTTCCTTGCGGTGGACAACATCTCGCTTTGCAAGTTGCAGAGGGTCTGCTGGAAGTTCCGCCGCATCTTGAAGGCGAGTTGAGTCGCTCCAAGCGCCCATCGATTTCGGAAGTCGCTGACATTGCCTGACGAATGCAGCACAAGCAGTTCGACGGTGTCCTCTTTCGCCAGCCGTCGTCTGGCGAGCTGCAGCCAGGCGAGCGCGTCAAGGCCAACGAGGCCCTTAGGGTCTTCGAGTTGCGCGATCCAGCCAGCGTGATGGGCCTCATCGCCAGTTTCGGTCGCTGGCCGCGCTCTTCAAGCAAGAAACAGCTCGCCTCGTTCGGTTACGCTACCTCGCCCGCCGCCCGTGTTCGAGCGACTTGCATTCTGCTCAACGGAACGAGCAAGCAAATCACCTGGTCTGCGGCCGCGAGCTGCTATGGCGTTCTCAGCCAGGTGGCGTTCGACATGGAGGTCAAGGCCTGGCGACCCAAGCCCGGCGTGAGCGGGAAGGAGTTCTTCCCCCTCCCCGGACGAATCATCATGAGCGTGCGGAAAGCGGAGCATCGCGGCGTGTACGAACTCGAGGAGAACGAGGTACGAGTCGGAGAAGACGGGTACGTGACGCTTGTTTGGCGTGCAAGCAGGTTGTGAGGTACGTCCAGCACAATTGACAGTCCTCAAAGGGCAGAGCCAACGCTGAGGCGGGCGACGCATACCGTTTGAATCCGTCTCTTCGGTAGCCGTCGTCCAGCAGTAGCAGACCTCACGCTGTCCTGCTCCCGGCAGCCGCGACTAGTTGAGCTCAGCATGTCAACCTGACTGGCTCAGAACCGGAGTCTGAGACGAGGCAAGTTGCGCGGTCAGGAGCGAGCGAGCAGGCGCAGAGAAGCGGCGAGTCGAGGATAAGTTACGCTTCGCGAGACTGGCGAACTACTGCGGCGCAAGGAAGAAAGAGAATGATGTGGGGAGAGGCGGGGTGATCGTGGAGAGAGGGGGCGTGAGTGGTGGTGGATTGCTCGACCTGCCGGCAGGTAGAGGTTGGCGTGAGGCGGCGTCGGGCTTCTTGAGAGCTCTGGAGAGGACAGACTTTGAGCCTTCCGTCAGCCCGACGTCGTCAAAGTCCTTGCTGCAACCTTGTACGACGAACCGTTTTCCGCGATGATGCGAAAGTCCAGGTGCACGCCGTCGTCTGCATGCCTGCAAGTCGTCCTCCGTATTCCGGCGCAACGACCTTGTGCGCTCAGAACATATTCGGTCGCTGTCTCGAGCCAAAGTCAGCCTCCGTCTCTCTCGAGAAAAACAAGAGGCGCTCAAGAAGCGAACGAAAACGCACCGTCATCCCCCCCAACCCGCCACCAACTCCCCACCTCTCCCTATAACAACCCCTACAATACGCCTTCCCCTCCTTGACCACCTCCCTGCCCAACTCCAACCTCCCCCCACAGCCCGCGCACTTGAAGCACCGGCGGTGGATGGACCCGCCGAGTGAGGGGAGTAGGAGGGATTCGGCGTGGTAGGAGGGGGTATGGCAGATGGTGCAGAGTTGGGGGGTGGTGAGGGAGGGGCGGGTCGAGGAGGGAGGAGGAGGGGCGGGG